GGGCAATTTTAATTAGTGCCCAATCTTTTGGTTTAACCTATAAGTACAAATGCTATAAATTTGCTCCCCCCCATTGCCCCATAACCATCACCTTTCCCTCCTCCAAAGAACAAACCGGACAACCCAACCCTTGGGTCCACAACAAGGCGGGTGAGAAACCCCCGGACCCCGGCATCCATCCTGCCCAGCAAGCCGGACCAACTTCTATTACATTGTAGTTGTGGTCATCTAGAGACTGTAGTCGATTTTCAACCCTGCGTTGTTCAACTCCACACGCAGTCGTCCGGGCTAGTACTCCAGAGTTTTTGCTGGTGATGATGTGTTCAACGCGCCGCCCTCTCCCCCACAAAAAAAAAAAAAAAAACCGGCAAGAAGTCGGGTACGCCGTTGATAGGAACAGGAGTTTTTCCTTTAGCCGTTCTTATTTTTGATTTGATTTGATTTTTACTTTTTTTTTTTTTTTCAGTGTGTGTGTTGTGCGCGTGTGTGCAAGCAAGGAGCTTATGACTTAGCTAGCGGCATGCAGTCATGAATTGGGCCCGCTTGTTCAGGCACCGGGTCTGACTCCGGTCCGATTTGACTGGGGTTTAACCGTGTTGATCGGTTCCCTTTTTTTTTTTTTTTTTTTTTTTTTTTTTTTTTTTTGGGCTTCTTTTTCTCGTTTCGTGAAAGTGTTCGGCGCGTTGATTGGAAGAGGGGTATCAACTGTTATTGTTATCATTGTTATTCGTTTCGGGTTTTTGTTAGTTTGATGGGATTTGAGAGCGTTGGTAGATTAAGTATATAACCCTGCGTATGGAGAGGTTTGCTTGTAAGAAAAAAAAAAAAAAAAAATTACTTGAATAAAAAAATGGATAAGTGGGCCAGTGTTTTTGCAGGGGTTTCTTCCTGGCTCGGCACCCGGGCGGGAAGGAAGGGAAGGGAGTAACCGGAAAGAAAGATAATTAAGTTCAAGGAACAACAGACAGAAGGACCATGTCAGGTTTTCAAGAACTGGGAAAGCTGTTTGTGGCTTGGTTCTTCTGAAAGCTCTTTTTTTTGGGTTTTGTTTTTGGTTTTGGGTTTTTTTTTTTTTTTTTTGGGTTGGAGATCTCTCGTGCCCCGCTAGATAAAGGAAGAGTACTCCGTAGACGGATTGACAAAGTCGGTGGAGATCTGTTAGTCCCAAGGTATGAATTCTGGCAACGGTGAAGGGCCGCGAGAATTTCCCGGCTTGACTCAACAACAATGGTGAGGGATTGCTGATTTATCTGATAGGGTATGTTTTGTTGGTGTCTTGCTAACCAACCAAATGTATCAAGATATATATAACTATCCTAGTACATATAAAATAGGGCATGATAAAGTAAAAAGGACCTATCATCAAGATCGCATCCGTGAAATAATACTCTCACCGGCTCTGCTCTACTGCGTCGGCTGCGTCCGAATTTCCCCGGCCGTTGACTAATGCGGTGTGTGTGTGTGTGTATGTGTGTGTCTTGTGCGTGGCTCTCATCGCCAAAAATCATCGTCGTTGTCTCTTCCAGCTGCTCTTAACTTTGCAACTTTAGCGTTGGCACAATTCAAAAAGCAGCCTGCAGAACCCGCAGCCAGCTAACCGGCGCAAGTCACATTGATAGGAAAGGTGAGGCGGCCGGTGCAGGTCTCTGGATACCAATCAATCAAGATGATCGTGCGGTAACTGGAGGTTAGCTTTATTATTATTATTATTATTATCGAGGCACCGCCGATGAGGCTAAGCTAACTTCCTAACTTACGCAGTAATTAATGAACCAACCATGGACGATGGGAATGGTGATGGTAATCTACGCGTGAGTTCCAAGGAAGAAAAAGGAAGATAGCGGTCAATGGGAAAACAGGGCAGGATGGATCACAGGAAACGTAAATTCGTTCCCGACGGATCGCAAGTTAGATATACATATCATGCGTATTCTGTACTGTATGTACTGTACATCAGTAGTAGTGTTGATGTTCTTGGTGTGAGCGCGATTGAATGGGCCTGACCCTTGATAAAGTGAGCGCCCAATGGTATGCGCTCGCGAATCCTCAGCGGCGCAGAAAACATACTATATATATATATATATATATCATTTTCGAGGAGACGTGTTGGCGAAGTTTCCCATTGGCTTGCGAACCATTTATCACTGACCAGGGGCCGTGGTGAAAAACGAGCCTTCCGAAAGGTTTTTATTTATTTATTTATTTTTTTTTCCGACAAAAGACAGAGCAATTACACCAGGAATTTTGGAAGAAAGACCCAGCCAGCCAGAAAGAAGCTGAAAGTCAGATTTCAACAAAAGCGATCCTCTTCTTCTTATCAATCAATACATGATAAGTTTACCGCTAAACAATATACCAACAATAAACTTAAGGACAAGTTGCTCCCGTCGAA